GTTTCTCAAATTATATACACTAAGGCTTTTTAACTGAGTAACTAAACATTTTAAGCAGTGCAATTTCTAACTAGATTGGTTGTCTGCCCAAATTACTGAAGTTGCTTTAAAACTATTGTTCAGCAACTGAAGTTTCAAATTAAGTCATCAAAAATGCTGAGATTCTTCAAGCCATTAAATTAAGTCGATGAATTATTTTTTTTTTATGGCAAAAACTTCCTGTTGGAATTTATTAGGGACTGTTGATGTACATCTTGGAGAATAAAAGGCTCATTTGTTTTTCAGGGTTTAATGAATTAGAAAATGAATTGCTATCACTTGTCTAGAGCATTTGTAAAGAAGATCCTTCAGAGAGCAAAAACCTAATTTTCAAGAGCATGATGTTTTTCAGAGGTTGGAAAGGACCTTAATACCTGGATGCAAGTAATCTTAAATGTGGCTAGACAAAAAGGGTTTGATGTGAATTATTTTAAAAAAAGAGAAAAAATGGACATTTTCAGCAAGCCATCTTTACTATTTTTGTAACTAGCTTCCCATTTAAAAATGAAAGAAGCTTCCTCTCCTGTTCTGCAGAGCAAAAGCCTCTCTTTGCAACTGGAGAAAACAGAGTGTCTTATGGGAACGGACACTGACAGTGAACATCATGGTGTCAAATGCAAAGACAAAAATGTGGAAATTACTTCTCTCCTGATTTGTTTTTGCCATGTTCGTGGTTACTTAAAGAGCCAAAGGGGAAGTAAAACAAGGCGGGTGTCTCGTAGTTGTATGTAGGCATCTTTATCAATATGATGAAAGAAGTCTAATGTTTCATGGTAATATGAAATCAGTCCTGAGAACTGGCCAGAACTCCGGGACTCCTGGCTCCAGCTTGCAAGGCAGAGAGCCAGAAGAGCTCTGGTAAGCATGCTGCCTCTTCAGGCTCCAGTGTCCCAGGTTATTCAGTATGCCGTTACCAGGTTTACTGTGCTTGCACTTCTCTACCTTTTAAGGCTGATGTTACATATGACAGCCTAGGAAGAGATTTAGGGGAATAATGCTTTTGCTTTCTCATACTAGCTTGCAGTGCTGTGGATTTTTGCACAATAAGAAAATGGTGTGTGAAAATGACATTTTCTATGAAGCACCATAAAAAGTCAGTGTACCTCTTGTGTGCTAGTATACAGCTTTATAGCATCAGTCTCTCTTTTCAGTACCTTGACTTCTGCTTAACACTGGCTTTTTTTAACTGTATTTTGATGCATTTGAAAATTGATAGTAGTATGGCCAGGTGTGGTGTGGTTAGGAATAGTTTTATACCTGGAGAATACAAAGTAAGTGATGAGTGATTTTTTTGTGGCTGCCTAAAAGTTTTCTGATAGAATCTGAACTAAAGGCTTGCAGCTTATAGAACACTAGATGGTTTGGGACTGGCTTCACAAAAGGTGTTTTATATCACCACAGTTGAGATTAGCTGAATTTCTTGCTCCTCTGTTTCTTAGGGTGGCTGAAAGGTTGGGATTTTGCTTGGTTGGTTATGTCCGAGTTTTTTTGTTTTGTTTGAGTTTTTTTAAGCTATTCCCTTTATTTGCATTTCAAGGCTCTCATTCTGTTAGTCTTCAGATTCCACTGTTTTCTTCGCTGCAAGACTGTTGAGGTGGATGTATTTATATGTAGCCCTTATGTCCATATCTGTGCTGTAATTTTAATTAGATAGGCAGCCGGAACATTGAGTAAATATCTCCTAGTGTACTTTAAATAATTAAACAGCAAAAAAACCCCATACTTGTCCACTGTTCTTCTAAAATGTATTTCTTCCCATAGTGCGTGTATGTTGCACATCAGCTTTGACTTTTGTCTCTTGCTTCTCAAGTAGTTTAAAAATAAACTAATTATGTCAGCTAAAAGTTTCTGTGATGATGAGGAAAGCTGAAATAAGTAATTGCGTGAGTTGTTATTTTATAGCCATAGAGCTGGCCGGGTAGTTGGTTTGGCATGGGCCAGATTCTGAAAGAATTGAGAGCATTTCACTTAAGAGAAAGGACTGTCTTTTTTTTTTTTTTTTTTTTTTGTTAAATGGGAAGTGCATGACCCGTTTCTCCTGTAAAGAGGTCTTGTGTTCTGCTAGCAAATGACTGCAAAACTTTTATCAATTATTATTTAGGCTGTTATCTTTATGAAGGAAGCTGGAAGCAATAAAAATACTCTCATATTTTTACATGCTGGCTGTGAGATATTTTATGCGTTACTTAAAGGTGATGCTCATGGATGTAGTCCTGAGCCTCCTGTCTCACTTGTCAGCACCACACGAGCGGTGTTGTCCTTAGTTACCATACAACAAAGTTGTGCTTTCTTACAGTAGCTTGCAGTGACTCTCTTATTTTCAGTCATGTCTTGCTAATGAAGGCAATGTCTTTGTTCAAATCTGTTCTTGTAGATACAGTTGCTAAAACAAGATCTCTGCTCTCTGTTATTTTGTCTTTTTATTTCATAGTTCTGCATCTTCTCTTCATCTTTCTTCTCCCTCTCTCTTTATGCTTTCCAAGACTGTTACTTGAATTCTTAGATTGTTTGCTTTGTCAGTGGACAAGCAATTTCTTTTTGCATTTAGCGTGGTAAATGGAATATGCATGTTTTCTTGATGATGTGTTTCTGTCTGTGGAGGAATTTCCTTTCTCTATAGGAAGACTGGATATTTGGTTAGTCACTAGTCCTCTTGATTGAGTTTTGTTGTTGACTAAATTCAGTAACTGGGAACATGTTGAGCTGCTATTTACAGTTAGTAAAATTGAGAAATCTATGTGCTGGCTTGACAAAATACATGTTTCCTGGGTGAGGCTTTTTAAAGGATTGTTTCCTGTTGGTGGAGTCTAACCAACCACTGGTTACAAAGAGGCCTTGAAATCGTTCTCTGTGGGACACTTAGGGCAATTTACTCCTCGTGTCATTGCTGATTGCAGACTGACAGTTGTACAAGAACAGGGTCAGACAGAAGAGAACTAAGTTACCTCTTGCTTTTTCCAGGTGCTGTGAGCCAGCTGTGGTGTTGCTGCTGGAAAGGGAAAATTTAAGTTACTGAAAGTAGATGATTGCTGCCTGATGTATGAATGTCTTTTGTTTAATTTGCATTAATTTATTTGAGTAGCAAGAGAATTTTCAAAGACTTCTTGCTCTCTGGCTGCTGAGAAATAACCTCTCAAGAATGGTGCTGTGTTGTTTCCCTCTTGGTGTTCTCATGAAGGCTGGTTCCTGTATTGGAAATGATGTTTTAAATTTTTTTGTTGTGACTACTCTGTGTGTGGATGTGATTGCACTTTTACTCGGTTCCAGAGTGCTTGCTTTTGGTTAAATGAGACACTAGTCTGTGACATTTTCAACTATGTACCTGGAAGTTTTGGGGGGTTTTGGGTTTGTTTTATTCCTACTCCCTCCCCCCCTTGAGCTTCAAAGTAATTTAGGTCTTATTAAAGGCTTCTGATTCTCAAATATTTTTAGATGTAGGCATCCTTCACAGCTATAGCAATCCATCAATTCTACCTTTTAACTACAGGATCCTCTTAAACAAATTTTGATTAATGAAAGAGGAGTAAGAGCGGTTAGAGCTTATTCTAACTTAAGTGGCTAGTGACTATCACCAAAAAGGGGCGGAAGGAGACAACTTACTGGAAGTACCACAGTGGTATTTTTAATTCTTTCTCCTGGAACTCTCTGACAGTTGTTACATTAGGCTCTGTTTTGAACTTGCATATGTTTTAAATTAAATATATATAAATAAATGCTGGAAGGACATGTTATCTTTAGTACTTGCTGTTCTGCAGATAAAAAAATTGAAGCCTTTTGCTGTACATAATTTTAGTGTGTAAGTAAAGAGTTCTGAAAATGTTAAAAATGACAATAAAGCCTGAGCTGAAAATATTACTGTAAAGGGAAACTATAAAAAAAAAAAAATGGTGATCTGGCTGTTTTACTGTGAGAACTCCAATACTTTGGGTTAATCCAGTTTCCCTTCGTGAAGAGAGATGGTCTGGAACTGTCAGAAGCTCCTGGTTTCCCAGATGGTAGACTCTGGTAGTGTTTAGGGATTGTGAGGAGCTATTCTTTCTATGAATTTTGTGTTCTGATGGAAGACTTGAGCATGTTTGAGAGAGTGCAGATTGGGACCTCTAATTTTATGCCATTAGTCCAATTAAATTATTTTGAGCTAAACTAAACTGAGAATGTGTGCAGATCTAGATAGTACTGTTGTCTCTGCTGCCTCTCAAAATCTCTAATTTTCAAGTGAAATAGCTATTCTATCTGTGACTTTTCTACTTTGTGTGAACTATACTGGCTGAAGGAAGGCTTCCACTGAAGTTCCAATGGTATAAAAAAGGAAGTTTGTTCATATAAATTAAAGGGATGTTCCAGACGCTGCTTTACTTATGATCCTGTTTTACTCATGATCATTGATGTGGTATTGTCCTATTTTGGTTTAATGCTCTCATTTTCTTAGTATGAAATGAACAAAGGGCAGTTTTCTGTGACAAATCTGACAATACCAGGGTCATGTGTATGTGAGAGTAATGGAAATTGAATTCAGGTGGGTGAAAGATTGTGCCCACCCCTACAGTAAAACCACAAAGGGATCGTTTCAGCATATGGAATTTTCTTCTCACCCTGCTAAGAACCAGTTTTAACTCTTATGAAATGGGCACATACACCTTTTGGTCTCTGGGGGGAGTGATTCTGCTGGTCATATATGTACCCTCGGAGAACAAGAAAAGCTCATACTTGGATATGCAATCTCAGCAGATGAGTGTATCTGTAGGAGGCAATGTACTGAGCTTGTGTGCTGTGCTGTTACAGAGTGGAGGGGGATTTAAATTAAAACCAGCAAGCCTGTATCCCCCTGCTAATTTCATTAGAGAGCATCAACCTACAGTGTTCTGTCTTCTTGACAGTTGAATGTTAAAGTAGTGTTTGTACAGAGATGCTTTTCTTAGAAAAATGTACTTTGAAGAGACTGAAGATGATGACAACTGAAGTCAGATACTCAAACTGATTTAGCTTTTATTTATTTTCCTCTTCCAGTAGCCTACAGTTCTGCATTAGCCACTTATCATGGAATGAAGTTGTGGTTGCCACCATGGGGTTGCGGTTAAAGTAGAGGCGGCTTTGGAGGAGAGGAATTAATATAAATTTATAAGATACTGCTTGCATAAATAACAGAAAACAATAGTATTTATACCCTCTTATAGCATGGCTACCTAGAATAATACATATAGTAATACTATGATATGGACATGGCTGCCATTCTGCTATACGTAGCTGACTTGTTCTTCTGTTTTATCAACTTCATTCTCTGTGAGCAGCAATGTATCCAGCAGAATGGCTGATGATGCTTGAATGGGTGAGCTCCTCAGCTTCATTGGGCTCTGATACATAATGGGGTTAATCCCATTTCTCATCCCATGCATGACAAAGAGCTTTGAATTTTCCGCCACAGAGCTTCTGAAAGAGATTCTGCTGGAGCCCCCCCGAAGGGCCTTAATAGGCTTTGTGGTCCAATAGTTGCAAGTGATATACCTGCTGAAAGCCTCCCTAAATGTTTTATTGAAGAGTGTATAGACAAGAGGGTTCACTCCTGAGGATACATATCCTATCCAAACAAATATCTCCATAAGCTTTTGAAAAACCTCCTTGTTGCAGGAGTTGCACAGAACTGAACTTATGTTTGTTATGAAGAATGGGCACCACATCAACAAGAAAAGAAGAAATACAATCCCCAGAACTTTTGACGCCCTTTGTTCGTTGGTTATTGTTTGCATGGACTTCCTCCCAATTGTAGACGTTCTGCAGATAGGCATGTCATTGGACAAAGTCTTGTCCTTTCTGGAGCCATTTAGCATGGCCACCTTTTCTGGTGAGGAGGCAGGTGTTGTGTCACGCTGAAATACTGTGGACACTGTTGACCAAGTGAAACGCTGAGGTGGCTTGTTGATCAAGTAGGCCTTCTTGCGTAGCACTTGGATCGTAAGAAAATAAGTGACTATCATGATAGTGAGGGGAATGAAGAATGCAGCCACTGATCCATACAGAATGAAGTCATGAAAACGATCAGGCATGAGGACACAGGTGATGTTTGTAGAGTTGCCGTTTCCATCTTCAATGCCTCTGATAGGGATCGGAATAGCGATGCCTACAGGAGAAAAAACAAGTACTTCAGTATATGGTAATTGTTTGCAATCTTTTTTTGGGGCCTGAAGCCTCATGATCTCTAAAGAAAGGTAGTTCCTGAGCTCCGGAGCAGACATAAGGTGACAGAGAATGTGAATTGTTGAGAGAATCACATGGGTAATTGGGCAAATAGTATTTTGTAAGACTTGGCAAGCTCAGGTTTAACAGAGTACCCTTTCTAAGTAGATTGGGCCTAACTCTGAGTGATTGAGGAAGCAGTACAGAGTTGCCAACTTCTCAAGTGTGAAACACATGAATTGCTTTGACTCCAGTTGTTAGAGTTAGCATGGCTTTTCCTCCAGTGAAATGTGTTTCCCTAATGCTGTCTGCCTTTTTTTTTCCTTGGGGTAACCTTTGCACTTTCTGAAAGGCAGTTCTGTAAATACATAAATCTTGTCTTTCCTTCTTATCTTAACCACATCAAGTGACTGAACACAGCTGATTTTTTTCACCGTGCTTGACTCTTTCATATATACAAGTAGTTAACTAGTTGCCAGAATTATGCTGTGTGTGTTTGAGATGGATTTGTTGTTTAAAGTCTCTTGCATATTTAAGAGTGTTTAAATGAGGATAGCTAGCTCTGTAATTCACCACTCGTTTAAAAAAAATGTTAGCAGTCTTGTCTTTTAAATGAATTTTTTATAACCACTAAATTACAGTCAGCACTTCATTTGCTAGCAGTCTGACATTACAACAAAAACAACAGGTTCCTTGCTGTCTGGTGAAGGTTATTTGTGCCATGTTTCCTGATACCACTTAATGAGATCTAGGGATTTACTGTATTCCTCTGCTTATTGAAGTTGGTTGAAGGCAGCAAGAGCAAAATGGTTTACCTTTCAGACACTTGATCCCTCTCTTAATAAGAGGCACACCTTCAGATACAGCAAACATTTAAAATGAGGATTGAACCAAATTAACCTTTGATTTGGAGAACCTTGGCTCAGCTACAGAGAACTTTTGTGTTAGATAAAAAAGAAATGAAAAAGTACGGCACTGATTAATAACAATAAATCAGGCATTAAAAGGTCAGCTTGTAAGTGTCTAGTCATTCTAACAGTTTCCTTTTTTTGTGATAAAATAGAGATAGCATCTTTTCTCCTATTATAACTGCTCTTCCAGCATTTTTTTCAAGTTGGAATTTTTGGGTTTGGGCATGTATGCCTCCACCAAGAAGGTGAATGTACCCATTCTCCTAGGCATCATTGGCTTTAATAATCCAAAATAATTTTGTTCTTCCTCTTGCACACAGAGCATATAGTACTATGCCTATGGCTGCCTGCAACATGCATTAAGTTATTTGAATTAAATGTTTTTACCTCCTTAGCTCATTTAACAGATTTAGTTTTTTAAGCATTAAAGACAGGTAAGGTGCCACAGGCACATCACAGAGGTGCTGATATCATAAAAGTTTATACATTAGCATTCTTTATATAAATGGTTCAGATTTTTTTGGTTTTGCGGTTTTTTTTGGTCGTTTGGGGTTGGGGTTTTTTTGTTTTGTTGTTTTTGGTTTTTTGTTTTTTTCATTTGTTTGGTTTGTGGTTTTGTTTTTTTTTTCTTTTGCTTAGAGGTTAGTCTTTCTGTATGCTATATTCCCAGTGCATCTCTGTCTTCAGTGTGAATGTTACCATGTTACCAGCCACTCGTTTATCTTTCAGTCTTTGATGTAATTAACCTTTTTTACTTCATGGGACAATTCTAAGGCATGGATTTTAGCAGCATCTACTCAAGGCTTAAAATTGTGTTTGGGGCAGAATATACTACCACAGGAACATGAAATATTGCTTTCCCAGGAGACATGCTATAGATGCAGATACTGTCTTCTGATTTTTGGATGTTTGGGACCGTGAAGAAAAGTGATGATTACCCCATGTCCATGTTTGCCCTTTCTGGTAAGCCTGATAAGGAGCACCAGTTCAGGCAGATTTGTGATGTAGTTATATATGATCCAAGTTGTCTAATCAATAGTACTTGGTCAAATTTTCTGTTTTGCCCAGCTTTCACCTATTGTTTTGGACATGAAAACCTTCTGCATTCCAGCCTCCAAGTCTCACATACCTATTGAAATGAGCCAAACCACGATGATTTTGATGATTGTTGTAGCCCATGAATTGTACTGACTAGCCTGGATTGGCTTTTTAATTGCAATATAGCGGTCTAGTGAGATGGCACAGAGGTGCATGATGGAAGCTGTGGAAAAGAGGACATCGAGGAACAGCCAAATAGGACACAAGGCAGTTGGAAAAGGCCAGGCATTGTCTGAAAGAGAACAGAAAACGCATTAGAATCTATGTTTTTTGAGAGTTTTCAGTGTGTGGTTTTCCCTTGGCATCAGTACCTTTGAGAAGTTCACAATACTGTAAGAACTGAGCGTTGACATTGCCTCAGCTGGATTCTGTCTTATGTTGTAGTTAGCTCCTAACTGGCATGGTTGCTGCCATCATATTATCAGACTGTGTGTTACAAACCTCTTGCTATCTTTTTGTCCTTTTTAGATCATAAACCCTTTGTGGCAAGGACTCTGGATAAAACAGTTTTTAAAAAATGGGCCGTGACTGTGCTTGGTCCTTGTGCCCTGCTGTTAAATGATCATTTTCAGCTATGTCTCCTTGATAGTCCTATGATTCAAGTTTGTATTAAATGGGGGAGATAACGATTCATAACCAATGTATTAGTCAATCACTGCAGAACCATGGTTGAATCTTAGTGGTGATCTTGAAGAATATAGTTCACGCTGTTTTAAAATTATAGTGTCACTTCACCAGATACAGTTGAGCACTAATGTGGCAAAGCAGGGCTCTTCTGTCTCAGTAATGATTTTATAAAAATTGAGGGGCTTTCATGCATGCTTTTAAGGGGAAGAAAAAAAAGTCTAGGACCCTGTTTCATACAGTAGTTACCAGTCTTTAATGTTAATCTTTATAGCAAACATAGGGCCTGTCAACTGCATTATATCCAAGATAAAGGTTTTGTAGTGTTCAGCTTTCCAAAAGGCTGGTATTTTTGAGAGCTGAGTCTCCCCTATCAATGTTTACAACACCAAACTGAATAAACTTTAATGAAACTCATCTATTTTTTTCTGAACTGCTTTATTTTCACTTGCAAGTATTTTGTATTGCAATCCAGTGCTAGCAGTGTTCAATTTGAGGTGCACCTTAGTGTTGTGTGTCTATAAGAATGGCCTGTAGTCCTAGGAAAGAATATGTGAACACAGAAGGGTTTTTTTTATTTCTAATGGTAGAAGTTGATCTATTAAATTCTCCTTCCTTATAAAATTCAGCTGTACTCAATCAGTAGGCACATTAATAGTTTTGCCAGAGAAATCAGTTCTTCACTGAATGACAATTAAGGAAAAAAAAAAGACATCTCTAACAAATCAGATTGGTTTTAATTTCCTTGCTCTGAATAAATAGATCTGTGTGCTGTGAATGCCAAATAAGCTAGACAGTCGTAATGCCCAGTCTTATCAATGTGTTAATGTTGCAGTAGTTTGAGTTTAAAACATTTTTTTCATAATATGATTTATAGACAGAAATTATAATAGTGCTGCCTTGACTTGAATTATAAGCTCCAGAGGGCAGAAAAATTTATTAAGTCAGACATAGTACGCACTTGTCCGTACTCTTACCTAAGTTGGGAAACCTCGCCTGTTAAACAAAGAGAATGGATGGATGGAGCCCTGAACCTCACCTCACCCATCCCCAGAGCAGTGAGGGATGATGTAGGCAGTGAGGCAGAAGGGAGAGAGGCGGTCTATTTTCAAATCATTAACTAGTAAATTTTAGTATCTAACTGCATATTTCCTAAAATAGATATCATAGTTGAAATTACGTTTCAAAAAAATTACTCTGTCCGGCAGGTATGAGAAGGTTGTAATTAGTATGTTATGAAATGTTTACTCGTATTTAACTTTTCTATCTACACTCTCAGCTAGTAGTAAGGTATGGTGCCTCTCTGAAGGGGAAAAAAAAAAAAAAAAGGAAAACCCAAGTGTCTTGTGGCCCATGTAACCAGCTGTTAAAAAACAAAACAAAACAAAAAACAAACAAAAACCAAACAAACAAGAAAAAAAAAAACAAAAAAAAACCAAACAAAAATAAACAATAAAAAACCACAAAAAAAAAAGCAGTTAAAAGAAATAATTTATTTGATGGGCTTTAAATGTTTTTGCTCACTCCAGAAAGGTAAGGCGGCTACTTTTGACTCTGTGATGAAGGATTAGTTCAGATAAAATGTGAACAATGGAAAGTGTATTCTACATCTTGAAGGATGACAGGTAACACAGCTGGATTTCAAGTGAGCAGCTAATGCTTCTGTTGGAGAGTGCTTACATGCTCTCTGGATTATAACTGCTTTGCTTTCTGGAGCGTTGCACTGTGATAAATTCTTTCCTTTTGTAGTTAATTTACTTTTTGCAGAATAAACACCTCAAATATTTTGTAAGAAAAAGCTTTCTTCCTTCGTTTAAATATAGATGCATTTAAACAGCTATCTGATGGAAAGCAACCTTGTACATTTTTGAGTTGTAAGAGCTTTTGTTAATTGATAAGTGTAACTGAACAGAGAAAGCTTTGTCTTTGTCTTGTTTTGAGCTGGGTGCAGAAGGCAGCAAGTTATCACATTCATGATTATAGCATTATGCACTAAAATATTTGAATGTATGAGATGATGTTTTTTATCCAGACGAAATCAGACTAGACTTTAAATGTAGCAGCTGATAAGAATTGAAGAATATGGTTATTATTTAAACAAAACTAATATTGTGAAACTGATATCTTAAAGTCCAGAGGAGTCATGTAGTTGTCTAGAATTCATACTGTGTTATATTTTGCTTTTATTTATTTTGAATTGTTAGTTACACCTGTGTTAGAAGCACTCTACCTAGTGTTTGAGACAGCACAAAATCTCAACCCAGAGCATTCCTGGTGGTGGTGGTCTGTTATCACTATTGGCCTATTCTCTTAGTTTAGGAGTAGGGAAAAGATGGAATATTAATTTCCACTCAGGACTCAGAAAGTATCGCTGACCCTTGGACATGATTGTGACTTGCTTTGTTGTCTTGCTTTATAATTCAGACTGAAGGTAAAATGAGTATGTCCTGCCAAGCGATGATATGAAGCCATTAGCAGGTCATGTTTAGTTTAGATTGTTGGAAGTTCTGATTCTTCTAGAATAGATCCACACTGTTGGAGCAGACCATAGCGTTTACTGGGCTGACTGATATTTTCCACTTTCTTTTTCCTTGAGAGTTAAAATGCTGATTTGAAGAAGCTAGTAGATTGGATTTCTAATTTATTTTTTTTTTTAAAGCCTGGATTACCTGATAAATGTGCCTGCCTGAAAACTTGTCTGTTTTTACCAACTGTCAGGAGGTATAAGATAGAAAGGTATTCCTCCTTCCTACAAACCTTGCCTCAAATCCTCCCAGCAGTGCTGCTGTTACAGATCATTTTCCTTATTTTGAGTCAATACAACATAAAATACATGTTTTAAGATTTGTCTTGCATCGTAACAGAAGATGAGCTTTTACCACAACTGTCTACCCTTGATTAATCTTAAGCAAAGCTTTATTTATATGAAATACCTTGGAAATGTGTAATCCTTAAAACAAAGTACAGTATAGAAGAGCTGCTCTTGCTATAAGCCACAATGTTTTTTGAAAGCTTGGGAGAAAGCTCTGCTTGTGTACATGTGTAAGCATGATTAAGAGAGATCTTTAAATTGACTTGGAAACTGTTCTGCTATAGGGACTGCTGAAACGTGTTGCCTGTAAAGGGGTTTGTTGCTGTTGGATAACGATGCTTTTACTGAGATGCAAATGGGATTGTTTTTAATCACCAGCTGATTTAAGCCTAGGCTTCAATCTTCAAACTGGTGTGCATGTGTCTGCAGTCTGCATGTAGGGTGTTCACCCTTCTGTCAGTATTTAGCTTTGCAGATTGCACGGCCTGGTGTTTCCAGGCTGCTCTCTTGCTGTTTCACCCCTGTGGATGCCTGCCTTTATTTCTCTGCTACAACTACAGCTTCAATAGTAGTTGTTCACTGTCATGTAGGTTTTTTTAATTTAGCCAAAGCAATTTTTTTTTTGTTACTTTTTTTTTTTTTCTTTAATTAGAATTGCTTTGTGAGGAATAAACCTTTGCTTTCTTACTTATCTTTAAATAGAAATTTTGGAAAGTAGCCTTCAATTAAAGCAGTTTTCTCTGGTAGTCTGCACAAGCAAAAAAGGAAGATTTGCTGTGGCTCATCAATAATGAGGGAAAACTAAGACGATTTCTTGTCATAGATTTTAAAAATAATGGTTTGCAGCCTAGGATGATCAGCATTACCTTCTGATTTTTAAGTGGATGAATATCAGGAATGGAGATTATATTTTAAAGGATGGTATATGCACTGTCTCCAAATAACCCAGTGCCCACCGAGCTGTGGACAACAGACTTCTTCCAGCTGTAGACTTTGCAAATAAGAGGATCTCTCAAGTTTATTAGTGAATTTCGCTATCTGATGAATAACAACATTTTTGCTTTCTTTCAGTAGTTCTGAGCGTTAGAAACTTGGATGACTCTTTTGAAAGCTAGAGTTCAGAGAATGCAATTATTTCCTAAGATGCCCTCCTTTTTTGGAAGAAATTAGAAGAATTTAGCAAGCAATAAAAGCAACGAACTGTTTGTATATTCTGACACTCACACTCCTGAATTAAAATTGCATATATATATTTGTACCAGAGTACATTTTGATCGCTCTGCTGAGAAATAATCTGCTTCCCATGGCATTATACCTGCAAGCGAGTTACAGGTTTATTTATTTATTTTTAAAAGGGGCAGTTCTTTATTATAGAGTCTATTAATGAAGATTTTTCTGTAAGCATAGTGTCAGGGCACGGAGCCAATATCTGTAGTAGTTTTTGAAATAAAATGCTCTGTGACACATTAGTTTTTATAGTCAGGATCATTTAATGTGACTGCACTTTAGTTTACACCTTTTCCCTCAAATACTCTACACATAATTAGATATCAGTCCTAAATCAGAAGCATAATATTTGTATTCTGTATCTAGAAGCTGCACCCAGCTACTTCATTATTATGGAAACATTCCTGTGTGGAAGTGCCAGGAGGCTCGATTTAATTGGCTCTCTGGCTATCAGTGATTATTCTAGGTTCAAGTAGTTATCTGGCTAATGTAGCTTCAAGATTTAGACTTGTTATGCATTTAAATGTCTGTTCTAGCTTCATTCCAGTAACTACTCATGTTTTGCTCATGCTTTGAACTTCTGTAAACACCTCAGCATCTTCTGGTTGGTGAAGAGGCAAAGCAGTTTTTTCTGGTTGGCTGCCAAAGACAGACTTGTATGCAAGAAATTTCAATTTTAACCACTGCTATGTGGAAGGCTGGTCAAAGCCTTACTTAGTTAATTATAACTAATTTGGCTACTTTCTTGTAAGTTTCCTGCAACATGAAAGATGCTTTTGCTTATCTTATAAATAAAGATTCCTAGCATGCTTTAAACTGTTGTAACCAGGTTTTAGCACTGGATTAATTGAGGGATTAAGGAGCAATAGTCTCTTTATAAAGTTAAAAAGAAAAGATTTATTAGTCTAGCAAAATGAAAAAAAAAAAAAATCCAAACCAAAAGAACTCCACCACCACTAAAAAACAACTCCACAAAATCTAGAACTTGCCTTCCCTTTGTTTTGATTGCTAGTCCAGTGCTAGTACTTTATATGGTTAGTAGTTAGTAGGAACTAAGCAGTTACAGTATCTGTGTGTAAGTATGGATATACATATCTGTTTCTTTCTTCTACACACACGTGAACATACATGACATACCAAGGGGTTTTATGAGTGATTGTGGGGTTTTTCCAGTTAGAAATCACAGTCTTGGTCGTGTACATTTGTTTTTCTTTTTATAAACTGTTGCTTGAAAAAAGATCTCAACACTGAATTCTGACCTCCGATTCATACTTCTGTTTAGGGAGAAGCAGTCCATAATATACAGACATTCAGTCTCAAGGCATTCAGTGAATAAACACATTTGTTAATAAAGTGATACCAGTCTTCTGCAGCAAACAAAAGCTACTGATGGCCTTTCTGAAATAAAGTTTATGACTGTGTTTGCTTGTTGCTCAGGCGACTCTTAGAGATTTAGCATAGGTAAAAATGAGCCTTCCATAATCTAGGGCCTAGTGGTATTTATACCTTAAAGATAACTGTGTAAATTCCTAAGTTTACTGAAAAACCTGTCTTGTTGATTTTTTTTTTCCCATTTGTTTGATATGAAAATAGACCATTTAAAATATATTCTTAAAGAAACTTTAGGAGTAAAAGAGGGAGCCATTCCCATGGAGCTGCCTCTGATTAATTGTCAAAAGCAGTATCTGAAATAAAGCGGGGCATGAGAGAATACGAAAAAGTCATGCTTGTTCTCAAACAACTAACCAGAAAGAAAATGTCACACCCAATGTATGTTCATGTAAAAAATACCTATTTTAATCCACATGAACCAGACTACATGAATAAATCTGAGTCTCAAACATTAGATACGCAGATTGAGGCTTCCTTGGTTTGACAGATTAGTTAATTCCTTGTGGTGCTTTATGGACCTGCTGCTTTTCCCAGGGTGGGAGAAAATCAGTTTCTTTGAAACTGGTACCGGTAAAGTTTGTTGTCACTGATGGTGCCAGGGATCATCTCTGATTGCTGATGGAGTGTGGAGTCAATATTAAGGTAAAATCAGGTGCCTGACTCCTAGAAAGTTCAAAACATGTTCAGTGTACTGAACAGATACCTAGTCTTCATTTCACATTTGTTAAGAGAAGACTGCCTGCAATTAGTGTAATATCTAATAGAAAAGATGCCAATGCTGTGCTGCTGTTGTTAAAAGTAATATTACTCTGTACAAAATGTAATTTCCCATGTCCAGCTCCAGTTTAGTTTCAATTCTAAGTCTTGGGTGATTTTTTTTTAATGGTTTTTTCAAAGGAAAGAATATGCACAGTGGGTATACTTCCCATAAAGACAATAAGCTGTATTAAGGTGAGAAGGAGAGATTTAGCAGCCCTTGTTCAAGTGATTTTAAAAATTGCAATGGTGAAAACCAAACAGTTTTTCTGTTTAAATTAGACCTCTCCAAATTGTAACCTGTATGCTAGCCTGATGAAACAAAAGTATTTGTACTTACCAAATAATATTATGAGAAGGGCTATCGGCATCACAAACAGACCTACGAGCAAGTCTGCCACCGCCAAGGATGTCAAAAAGTAGTTGGTAGCATATTGCAACTTTTTCTCCAGAGACACAGCCAGTATGACGAGTATGTTCCCCCCAATGGTGGGGATTATCACCAGGAGGATCAGTAAAGCTGCCCAACGCACTTTGTTTCCTTGTTCGTCACTTGGGTAGTCCTGCTTGGGTTCTCCTGTTACTGAGAGAGGCGACAAAGATCCATTGCCAACTCCAGACCCATTCAAGATATGTAAAGGATAGGACATTTTTGTGTCCAGCAGAATGTATTCAGGAGCTGTATTTCGCGCAGGAATTGTGTACGGTGCGAGAGTTCACTGTTCCTCTGTGATCCAGGATGGTCCTGAAGAAAGGCCAGCATGGTCAGTATGGTAAACTGGTCATCTGCTATTTTGAGATACAGTAACCATGTCCGAGCTGATGTCCAATTTTTTTATCCTGTGCCTTGCTGGGTGCAATCAGATCTTAAAAATGAAAGTCCTGTCTTGTATCCATCTCTGGTTGGTAGGGCTCAGTGGTCTGGTTTCCCCTTTATAGCAAGGTTCAGGTTTCAGAAGATTACAGGAGACAATTCAATAGCTGTGAAAAGTAAGCAGTGCGTTAGCTGCTTTTTTCTTTTATTTTATTTCTATAGCAGTAAAAAGTGCTAAGATTAATTTGGATGCCAAATGGTTTCCTTTAGATATGGTGTACATAGATTTGTTCTTTGTAAGTACGAACTGATGCAAAGGCAGATGCTTGCGTTGTGGATATGCAACTCCTCCTCTCCCGAGTGTCTAGTCTCCAGCAGCGTGTGCGTAGGCAGACAGCAGTTCCCATCTTTCCCCTTATTAAGAATACTATTTCTCCACAGAGGGTCACCCCAAAAATATCTTCAGAAATCATGTATGAGGTTTCCGTTTTAAATTAAGAACTGTAGACATTATCAGGTGAGGGTCAGGAAGCTGTAGACAATAAAACACTGGTGACAGTCTCAAGGGAACCGTAAAGATTTATGGAACTGAGACCTCTAAATTTACCCATTACTTGGAAGGGGGGGGTGAGTAAACTCCTTATTTTTGTAATCTGAGCAGGGCTTTTATTAAGCACAGCTTTTTCTCTCCCTCTCTCTTTTTCTGTCTCTCTCAACTCTGCTGAAGGCTTAACGCTTACATTTCCCCCTTGAAGCAGAGACGAAAACAGCTGCCACGGCATTAAGCTGAAAGTATGCTCAGTTACTGGAAAGATTTTATGTGTTGCAATTTTCAGGTGAAGAAAGCCTTACCTCTTTCTCATGCATTTTAGTAAGGTCCACTTTGCATCCAGGAAGATCCTTTGTAATCTTCTTTTTCATCACATGGTGGATTTTAAGATAAGATTTTTCACTACTCTCTGGAAAACAAGTTGTTAATTTGGTTTTGTTTTTTATAATGTTTCTAAACCTTGTTTCTCTGCTTTTGTTTATCATTTGTGTTTCCTCTAATACCAAGATTAAGAATTTCTATTTTGGGAAAACTGTATTTCTTACCCAGGTATTTTCCTCCAACTCTTGAGTTGAGGAGAAGATTCATTCTTGTCACATTTTAAAAAATGTAGAAATAAGGTTGTGTTCTTTTTCTGCTGTTGTTTCTCTTCCATTCTTTTGATGATTTTACTTCGGTGATTAGCAGAGTGTATGTGCAGTTTTCTCTTGGTTCATTAGCAAAGCTCGCAGTCTGCTGCTACCCTTGTTTGTTGATAGACTCATTCCAGTGTATCCAGCTTTAGTGCTTGAAAAGCAGGGACGAAAATGAGCGGGGGTTTGCCTGGAAAAGAGCCAGAGAGGGTTAATTGATTCAGTGTTCCAGTACTGTAAAGTGTGCTCCTTGTAGCTGCATCAGGATGTGCAGATCCTGTAAACGACCCTTCACGCTCCAATATTGTAGCTCTATGCGCCATAGCCGTGTATGCCTGCGCGCCTGCTCGCTCTCTGGATGGAAGCACGGTTAACCCTACAAAGTTCTGCTGCCCTGCAAACACTCCAGGTTTTTTTTCTTGACTCACAATGGTATTGTCCAGCACACTATTTTAAATGTGTGCACTGTTACTTTAAATCTTTCTTCATGCAGCTGCTTTTTATTATGAGTGTTCTCTTTTGTTACCTTCCAACTTTCAGGCAGATGTGTGTGTGTCTTATAGCTCCACATAAAATGGAAATAGAGTTCACTTCCAGGGACATCAGCTGGACAAGTGTGTAACAAAGTCCTTGAGTTTAAGGCCAGAAGAGACCATGAGATCATGATCTGAATCCCTGTGTGTCACCAGCCATTACATTCCATGAATTGCTAGTGCTTACCAGGCTTGAGCTGGGAATCTGGTCCTCAGTGGACTGTGAATCAATTTATATTTGTTTTTTAAAAATTTTAAAAACATTTGTGTCTTTAGGATACATCTACTTTGGGGCCAAAGAGAGAAAACTGCTGCCAGAAATTAATAGAAATACTTGACTTAGTGTGTTCAGATCATACAGAATTCCAGCAAAGTAGTTTTTACTTGTTCCTTATTTTTCCTGCTTAAAGGAAACCTTCAGTAAGATTCCGTGCTGTATTCATTTGCAATTGACTTTTGATACCTTTATTCTTCAGAAAAATATGTATTAGGAAATAAAGATTAATCCACCAATGGTATTTGTTTCCTTACCTGACCACCTCCTCATTGTCACTCTGACAGTACTGAGAGAGCAGAGCACATGAAAACTTACAAAACCCAGAAATCAAGAGATGACAGTACTGCATTGGGCTAATGAGCATTCAGATTCAGTTTTCCTTAAGCTCAACTATATCTAATCAACTTCTGTTTTATTTTATAAATCTTTAAGGCTCTCCTGGCATTAATCTAACTGCACTTGAAGTCTTTACCAAAATTTCTGTTGGATTAAACACAGCCAGTGTTCACTCTTTCTGATTGTACAGATGAAGCTTGTTTTCCTTCATCATTGACACTTGAGCTTTTTTTTTCCTTGTTGAAAGGAGGCTGGAATTATTACCACTTTCTGGGGATGGATCTATTGGCAATCTGTCTGAATCATAAATGGAAAAAAAATGTTCCTGAGTAAAACCACCAAAGTACAGTACAAGATTAATCCTTTAACTTCAGTGGTCTACTTGTGGGTGTATGCCATGTGCAGATCTTCATGTCACATCTCTGAATTTAAAGAACAGAATTAAAACTTCTGGGGAAAAAAAAATAGACAATGTGTCTGTCAGAACAATCTGCTAAGCATCAGTTACTGATCGAGCCTGTGTTGGAGGTGAAGCATTAGCTTGAAAGAAGTTTATATTTTTTTATACTTTTCACAGCACAGAAGACACTATACCTTAGTCACTTCACTGTGGGGGAAGTATCAGAGTTATAGAAGTGTAATTTTGTCAACTTAAGCTCTGTATCACCTCTTTATAATTTGTCTTCATATATCCTATTATCTGAGAAGCATCGCTGTTGGTTACTGCAGTAAAGTGCTGTTTTGGTCAAAGTGAAAATTAAGTGTTCTCACTTCTCTGGAATGCCTCAGTGGATGTTATAATGTAATTTATATGACAAAATCATCTCTTTAGCCACTAGAATGATTAAATTAAATAAATTGGGAATTGGGAGGTACCTTGAAGCACCAGCTGAAGGCTGTACTGTTGCCTGCAGATTGCTCTGATGAAAGCTATATAAATGCACTCATGTCTAATTGAAAATAAAATTATTTTTTCAAATACAGATGAAAATAGATTTTCTTAGGAACTCAGAGAAAGATCATATGAGCTTAGTTGCATGTAGGCTTGCATAGCATATATACCTCCTTGATGCGATGTCTCGTTTCATATGGCTAGAAAATTTATTTGCCTTTTGCCATGTTTTTTGAACTTTCCCAGGTTTGAATCATTTCTGAGAAACACATCCTCCTGTATATCTATTACACATCTGTGGCAGGTTCTTCACTGCAAGCTGCTGGCCAGGCCTTTTGTGCAGGCCAGTACCCTGCCCCATGTCCAGTTCCGCTCCTGTGTTAGTCAGTGTTAAACCTTAAATTTTGCTAGACCCCACTCCTAGTCCGCTGTAACCAGAATATTTGAACAGCGCATAGATATTTTTTTCCCACCCCGCGTTATATCTGTTTTCAGTTTACCAACACTGTTTTATTTGAATGGAGCCATGTGTACGTGAAATGTGAGCTGACACTGGTGACAGTGTTGTTCTGTGGGTGCTGGTCCCTCAAGTGCATCTGCTGCGCCTGTTGGCAGCGCTCAGCCCCGGCCCCCTGACTGGGAGGCCTCCTAGAAGTTCTCATTCTTTAGCAGGTCTTGATTAGGCAACCAGGAGACATTTCAGAGGAAAACATTGAGGCGAAGGAGGCTGTTGCACGTGTGAGAGGGTTGCAGGAAATTCCTGGCGGGGAATAGCTCAGATCCTTTTTGTCAAGAGAGGAGAGGGGATTTACACCCGTGTTTAGTCCACACCAAAGTGTGTTAGCTTGTTGCATTTTTCTCTGCAGGTTTTCCATCATCTGTGTTTCCCCTCCTCCGCTGCCTCTGCTACACACAGACCCTTCAGAAATTATTGCAAATTGTGCAATTAGATATCTGTGTTCCTCCTCTATTAATTCATTCATGGATGAAATAAAACTTCTGTTAAGCTTTTCTTTTTTTTTTTTTTTTTTTTTTTTTATCAGGCACTACACTACCAAAGCAACTTGTGGAAATAGTTCTGTATCAAATGATTAATACATGTTCAATAGTTTAGAAAGTAATAAATATTTATAATATTTTGAAATATGACTGGGGAGTCTTAATGAGGAATTTAAAAGATATATTTGACATTGTTCTTTAATTCTTTGACATGTCATTTTTCAATGAGTTGTAAAGTCCTTAAATATTTAGACTAAAAAGTAAGTGTAGATCAGTGATGCTTCAGACTGCCATTTTTAGTTTCAATCACAGTACAAGTGTGATGGTTTATTTTCAGTATGCTTGTTATTTACTTATTAATGCTACCTTATATACATATACAAGGTTTCTTGTTTAAACACAGCTGAAATCTAAAGAGAAATGGCAGTGGTCCTCAAACCGTCAAGATGTGCAATTTACAGAATTGGAGATAAACTGCGCAGAGATATTTGGATGTGGTTCTAACTGGGCTGTGATCTAAGAAACTAAGTGGAATGTGCTTCAAGATATGGCAGTCCAAGTTTTTAATTTGTCTTGCGGTGGTGTTGCGTGACTCTTGGGGAAAAAAAAGATTGAAGTGAATTGTTAAACAGAGTCAACGTGTCTTCAACTTTCAGTAGTCCAATAAGGCTCTTGTAGGTAGAGCCTACCAAGAATTACAGTTTCTGCAGATACTGCAGGTGTAATTACCTTCATTTAAAAAAAAAAAAAAAAAAAAAACAAACAAACAAACAAACAAAAAAAACCAAACACAAAACAGTTTAGGTTCCTTAGAGATTCCTAATAATGCTGCTGTAAGAGATGTTTCACGGTGAAAAGGAAATACAATTTCAGGGTTCTCTGCAAAATGTGGAGAACCTTCTGTGGTCAACATCATGGATTGACAGGCAAACTGAGCACTTTCTGTGTCCATCTGATCTGGGTGGTTTTGCTCATACTAGTCTGTGTTAGTAACAGTTGACATTCTGGTTTTTATTTTGCGAATTTTTGTAGTGGAGGCTTAAGAAAAACTCATTCTTCTCTCTTTGGAAATGATGAAAAATCCAAAACATTCTTTGGTGTTTCAGAAATTCTAGGGCTAAGTATCAGCTTTTGTGTAGGGAATATAACACTTATATGTGTATATAAATGTCACTTACATTTAATTATATCCAGGAGATTAACATTGCCAGGAATGAGATCAAAATTGAGGCTAAGGCTAAAGTAATGGGACAGGAGTTAGGCAGCTCCTTTGTGTTCTCTATGGTTCTGCTTTCCATGAAGATTCAAAATCCTTTGCCACACAGGGTGTTTGTTTCTCATGGAAGTTTTGAGAGCTGCCAGTTGGTGAGTAAAACTAATAAAATGCTAGCTATTATGTTTTGCTGAGAATCTCTCATTACTGTCTTGGTGCATCTTTATTTTTCTTCACGATTTTGTATATGACTTCTGGAACAAACCTAACTGGATCTTGATCTACAGCCCATATATCACAACAGTAAAAGTTATCCTGGTGTAGGGTGGAAACAAAGCAGTAGCTGAGTACTGTGATAAAGCCCTATAGAAGAAACTTTTAGGCTTTTTTGGCTTCTCAATTCATTTAGTTTCCTGGTAACAGAACAAAGTTGAAGCTAGTTGTGATGTAGTCTTTTTTTGTATACAGGTCTGGGTTCACTGACGTCGTGTTTTGATGGCTTATGTAGGAGCAGTTGAGCAATTTTCAGATGAAAATGAAGGAAATAATCAGGCTGTTCTTTTGTTGTCATTTTGCTGTTGTAGTAAAATGTAATTGCAAAACCAAACTGCTTGAGCAAAACCGGCTTTAGGAAAAAAGGAAGGAACCAGTGCATTAAAGATAATTTGGTTTTTAAAAATAGACATCTCCTGTCTTTCTAAGATACACAGCCCAGTTTAGAGACATGCCTTAGGTTTTAATGTAGGATTTCTTTATATGAAATTACTGGACTGTGTTATGGGAAGGTCAGACTCAAGGACTATGGTACGTTGCTTCTGTCCTCAAAATACATTAAATATACTCCATGTTTAGAATTTTTACTATGACTTTTAAGAGGGGGCAAAAAATTGTGTCTGGAGATGAGACTTCGGCCCACTAAATCTCCATATGTTATCCTGGTATTTCTTGTGATGTTATTTTCTGTCTTTAACTTGTAGTAAGGACAGATGTCCGTATTAGGACTAAAAGCAGCCTGTTGCTGAGTGCAACTTCTGATAAA